GGACAGTGCAGGAACACTTTGGCGTTGCCTGAGCAGCGCGTTGCAGATCCCACGCTGCTCCTCAACCTGGCGCGCCCACAGTCAGCCTCCTGAAGGCTCAGGTTTTTCTCTTTGCCCATCCAGCAGGAGTTGCTGGGGCGAGCTGTGTGGTATGGCGTGGGGCTGGTCTCTGAGCAGGTGGTCTATGTTGCGATCAACCAACAGATGTGGTCTCTACGACACTTTACGTGTGGAAAAGTCGCACCTGAGTGGGATGCGACAAGGTTTGGGAAGGTCTGGCGAGAAGGGCCGTCTGAGGGAGGGAAGGGCGCGCGCGGTTGCATCCAAGAGGTGGTGGCCTACAACGCCAGTAACTGGGTGTCTCGCCTGGTCTATGTCTAACGGGTCCTGGTACAGCAGTGCAGGGAGTGGGTGCGCCGCTGAGCACACCCACCTATGTTCTCCTACCTCTTCTATGAACGACCATGAAGGGTGAGAGACCACCGCTGTGATGGCTTCCCGCGTGCATGTATCTTCCGAATCTCCCTTTTGGGGTTCTGAGCAGCAGAGGCTCCTCAGTGGAGCAAAACAAAACAAGTCCCCTCTCTAACCTCAGAGGGGATCTGGCCACTTCCCTGAGAAACCCTGAAGAGCCTTGATCCCTGGGGCCCTGGTCCCTGGGGTAAAATGAATTGCTCTCTGCCCTGTGATCCCATCATGAGCTGGGCTTGGCTCCTATGGGTGAGGACCGGGATGGTCTTTTTCCATGACTGGGGCCCTGGGTGGCACACCCTTTGGTGGGGATAATCAATAGGACTAAGTATCTAATCCGTGGCCCCTCATGCAGCTGACTCAGCTGCGGGAGATGAGAGCTGTGTGGGACCCGCTGCCAGGTGAGGCTGTAGCGGGGAGGCCTGGGCCAGGGAGGCAGGATGGGAAATCCAGGCCTGCTGTGGGGGCCGCCCAGGAACAGGGCTGGGTGGCCTTGGCGGGTCCCTGTGAGGTGCCTGCCCCCAGGGGTCACATGAGGGGAAGCATCACAGGTGGTCTCACCTCCTTCATGTCTTCATAGAAGAGGTAGAGAACAGGGTGGGTGTGGCTCAGCTCCCACCACTCCTGCACGTGCTGGTACCAGGACCCGTAGGACACTGGAGAAGCGGGCAGGGGGCAGCGACACAGGGTTACTGTGCGTTGTAGCCAGCACCTCTCGGCTCCACACCCTCCTTCCTCCCGTCAAACCCACCTTCTCCGGCCATGAACTTCTCCAGGAAGCTGTCCCAGGTCCCAGGCTCAGGGTGCGACTTTTCCATACGGTGGAAGTGGTAGTAGGAGACCGCCACATCCTTTGGGTTTCGGGCAACATAGACCACCTGCAGGGGCAGAGGACCCAGCCCCAGCGCCATGACCACACAGCTCGCCCCAGGCCAGCTCACCTCTTGGATTGGCAAAGGAGGAACCTGAGGCTTAGAGGCTGACTTGCTTGAGATCTCACGGCACAGGTAGGGCCAAGCTGGGATCTGAACCCTGCTCAGAAGCCAAAGTCCTGCCTGGTCCCTGAGACCATATTCTATACTAATATAATCTGCATCAATGCTGTCACACTCCGATCTGGAGCAAGGCATGCCCGGTCCCCACCAGCCCCCTCCTCTGCTGACCTGTGAATACCCACACATTGCCTTTCTTAAGTGTGCACTGTAGAGACTCACTATCTTGGCATCGGACCTTCATCAGAGCAAGAGATAGACAGTGTCCTCTCTCAAGATGTGATGAAGGCCGGGCACGGTGGCTCACGCCTGTAATCCCAGCACTTTGGGAGGCCAAGGTGGCCCGATCACCTGAGGTCAGGAGTTCAAGGCCAGCCTGACCAACATGGCAAAACCCCATCTCTACCAAAAATACAAAATTAGCTGGGCGTGGTGGCAGGTGCCTATAATCCTAGCTCCTTGGGAGGCTAAAGCAGGAGAATCGCTGGAATCCAGGAGGCGGTGGTTGCAGTGAGCCAAGATAGCATCATTGTACTCCAGCCTGGGCAACAAGAGTGAAACTCTGTCTCAAAAAAAAAAAAAAGAGAGAGAGAGAGAGATAAAGAAAAAAGGGACAGGCACAGTGGCTCACGCCTGTAATCCCAGCACTTTGTGAGGTCGAGGCGGGAGGATCACAAGGTCAAGAGTTCGAGATCCACTTGAACAACATGGTGAAACTCCGTCTCTACTAAAAAGAATACAAAAATTAGCCGGGCATGGTGGCATGCCTGTAATCCCAGCTACTCAGGAGGCTGAGGTTGCAGTGAGCCGAGATCACGCCACTGCACTGCAGCCAAGGTGATAGAGTAAGACTCTGTCTCAAAAAAAAAAAGATGTGATGATGAGCCTCGTAGAAGTGAGGAGGCCCTTCCAGAAGAACAGGAACATGGCTGGGGGGCGCCTGAGCTCCCCTTCCTGGCTTTCCTTGCCACTCAGCAGGAACTTTTTTTTTTTGTAGAGATGGTTTTGCTGTGTTGCCCAGGCTGGAGGGCAGCAGCAGGATCAGGGCTCATTGTAGCCTCCAATTCGCATAAACAATCCTCCCCGCTGAGCCTCCTAAGTGGGAACAGTCTGTGCCACCACACCAGGTTTTTAATTTTTTTTGTAGAGATGGGATGCCATCTCTACAGCAATGTTGCCCAGGCTGGTCTCCATCTCTCGCCTTCAAGGGATCCTCCCACCTCAGCCTCAAACTGGGATGACAGGTGTGAACCATTGTGCCAGGTCTCACCTTAACCTTCTGATCCAACAGAGTCTGGGGGAGCAGGGCCAAGGGCAGGTGTGACTTGATGAGCCGTGGGGACGGCGTGTCTTTCAGCATCTCCATCCCTGAGCAGTGGGTCAGGGAAGGTCTGGTGAGCTGAAGCCCCAGCCCTGTCTTCCTCCCCTCCACTTGCACCCAGGACCCAGCCATGCACCTGAGGGATCCCCTGGATCATTGGCCTCAAGGAAGGGCACCCGTATGTAGATGGGAGCCCGGTTACACTTCTCCAGGTCGCCGCCCTGGTAAATCATGTCCAGTATTTGGCTCACCCAGGTGGTGCCTGGAGAGGGAGGGAGATGGGAAGTGAGCAGGCCGAGGGCACAACCTCGCTGGCCAAGGTGGGGACTGCCACCTGGGAGAGGGTGGGTGGCCCTCCTCACCTACCGGACTTGGGGTAGGTGCTGATGAGCAGGTCATCGAGCTGGGCTTGGAAGCTCTGCAGGGGTCCCAGTGCCTCTGCAAAGCACTTGATGAGCGGGACCCCCTTCACGTACTCCAGTGGCAGGCGGGAAGCATCCTGGATCAGCTCCATGTTCCTGCGTCAGGGGCCAGAGCCAGGCCCATTCCCTTAACACCATCACAACAGCATCATGTGCGGAATTCTTTTTTTTTTTTTTTTCCTCAGATAGAGTCTCACTCTGTCACCCAAGCTGGAGTGCAGTGGCACAATCTCAGCTCACTGCAAACTCTGCCTCTTGGGTTCAAGCAATCCTCCCGCCTTGGCCTCGCAAGTAGCTAGGATTACAAGCATGTACA